AATCTTTATTGAAAAAGAGCGGAAAAAGTAAAGCATATACGCAATTATTGAATATTCAATTCAAATTCAATGGAAAGCTAGCGTGGCCCATGGTCTCGCCGTCTTGGTGGTGGTGATGGTATTGCAGAGCTTGTCAGTTTGTTACTTTTCCATTTTCATCTTCCTTTCCGTTTGTTTTCAGTTAAAGCTTCACTTCCTTTTGTCGTGACCTACTCTTTTTTCCTCCATAAAAATAAAAACCCAACTAAGCCAATTCTATTTCATTCTGCAATGACTAAGGTTCATCTGCTAAATGCCTAGTTTTTATCCTTTACTACTCTGTACTTTCTGGTTTCGGTGCATGTTTTGATGGGGCTATTTTTTCTTCGAAAGAATTTACAGGCAATTCAAGTTGTTCTATGGTCGGTATGGCTATCTGGTTTTCTCTTGATTGGTCTCTCCTTATACGCTACGCAGATTAAAGACCACATCAACAACCCCAAGTTCAATCACAATATGGATACTTCAAAGATCACCATATTCACCGGACCCAGTCCTTTTACGGGCTCTGTCGGGGCTAGGCAGAGTCTAGCAATTCGTTCATGGCTCGCTTTGTCGTCGCAGGTAACAGTTGTTCTATTCAGCCGACACCCTTCTGTTGTTTCTTTCGCTGAGGCCTATGGTTCACGAGTTTTGGTCGATCCAAATATTGATTTCACGTAAGTAGTTGAGCTTATCATTCCATTTCTCCTCGTGTTCTATTGACTGCATTTTTGTTAATTATATTGAGATGTTCAAGCAAATAGTAGTAAGATAAAGAATGCAGTTTATTCAACGAGCCAAGGTTTCGAAATCTTGATATGGGACAATTTGTTTAGAGCTTTCATGTGGAAATAATATGTAGTGTTGTGTTTAAATATATTGTTTATGTATCTAAAGGACGCCATATTAAGTGTTCATCTTTCTCTTTTTTACCAGTTTAAATTCTATTTGGGAAAATGCTTTATGTTAAAGAGCTGCAACTCATAAAACATCTGTTGGGAGACCCTGGGGATAAAAATGTGTATAGGTGATTCTCCTCTATTGCTTCTGAGGTTTGTTTCAATTGATTAGTTTAAGAAACTGATGCCCCTTCATAACACACCTAGGTTTAATTTCGGGGGTTTATTTTCCTTTCATCTTATTCTGGTTCTGTTCGCCAGTGTTTTTGAGTGCGAAGGGGAACAATAATGGGAGCTAGTTGATACAGAAATTTGTTAAATTTGTTCTTGCCCATCATCTATAGAAAAACAATAAAATCCATTGAGCATTGGTTTATTTGGGTGTTTCTAGGTTCCTGGGGACTCCATTCTTCCATTCAATGGTAGCAAGATCACAGGAATTCATGTCAGACATATCTGTTTTAATTAATCCTGAAACCATTGTACTGCCAGACCTCATTTCTACTCTCGGTTATACTCGCCAACTCAATCGTGATTGGCTTCTTTTTGCTTTATCGCAAAATCTATCTGACTTCCCATTCTATTTGGATGAGAGCAGCCAGCAATGGCTTAATATGGATGGTGAAAAGATGAATATCCAGCAGGTATAAAAACACTTAGTCCAGACTAAAATTTGGTGGCATATTGGAGAGAATTGTATTGATACTATCCCCATTTTATTAGTTGCAGGAAATGCTCAATGAAACTTGGCAACGGAGTTGTTGCGAAGGGAGAATGCTTATGGCATGGAACAGTGCAGATCTACCCTTACATAATGGCGTCCTTCCTCCCTTCTTGTTTCAGAAGGGACTTCACTATCAATGGATCATCAATGAGGCTTTGTCATGTGATAAAAGGTTTGTGTTTGATGCCAGTAGGACGGTCTCCAGTTTCTTTCTAAATGTCCATGACCATCAGTCTAGCTGGTCATTCAGAGGTCCCAATGCTTCTCTTTTTGAAAGGAGAAGCTGGGAGTATGTTGGCAATTCCCACTTAGCAGCATTATATGGATCCTTGTTTTTCCATGAAAACAAATTTTCTAGCCTAGTGAGGCTTACAAAATGTGGTGAAAACTACTTATTTGGCAACACTACTGAAAATGTTCATCACTATATTTACCAGAAGTTCAGTTCAAGGAAGAAAAGAATCTTGAACTCTTGGAGATTTAAGAAACATTTGGCTTGTATTGATGATGCTAAAACGGTAAACAGGATATCAGATTGCTTCATTGAAGATAAGTTAAAGCCATTTACACCATTGAATTTCCCCCTTCCCTTAGAGTCACTTCTACCACTAGTTGCGGATAAGAATAGGACAATTGTGCTTGCAGTTGCTGGATATAGTTACAAGGATATGTTGATGAGTTGGGCGTGCAGATTACGTCAGCTTGCTGTCACAAATTATGTGATCTGTGCTCTTGATGAAGAAACTTATCAGTTCTCTATCTTACAGGTAGTTTGCTCCTTTTCTTTTACTTTGTTTAATTAATTTTTATGGATATCCTGGCTAGATAGAAGATTTGCAAATTCACAAGCATGCAAAACTGTAAAATATATTTAAATTTTAAATTCTTAAAATTAAAATAATGACATATACTTTCTCTCAAAAAATTTATGTTTGGGCTGGGAAAACTGTAAGGTCTAAAGCAGACGACTTTACATTGTTTCCACGGCAAAAATCAGCCTTATCTTAGGGTATGGACCTTAGTGGGAGTATTTCTGTTTGGGCTGTGTTCCATATATCTGTTCAATTGTCAACCATTAGCTGGAAGGTTGCCCAAAGGTGATCTTTGTTACACTCTAGACTATAACTATGATGCATCAATTGACTGCCTTATTTAGTTATGTGCTTTATGTTACATGATGCTGTGTCAACATTGACTTCATATCTGTGTTTCTGTTTTGACCAGGGCCTTCCTGTTTTCAGGGATCCATTATCTCCAAGTAATATTAGCTTCAACGACTGCCACTTTGGTACCAAATGCTTTCAGAGGGTTACCAAAGTTAAATCCAGGATAGTTTTGAAAATATTGAAGCTGGGTTACAATGTACTTTTAAGTGATGTCGATGTATATTGGTTCAGAAATCCGTTATCATTTCTATGTTCTTTTGGTCCTGCTGTTCTAGCAGCACAGTCTGATGAATACAACCAAACAGGTGCTCACTCAAATCACTACATTTAAAATGACTAATTCATATTCCATGATTTACTATACATATACGGAGATCAGTTTAAAAACTTAGGATTTTCCATTGATATTTGTTAACTTCTTTTAGATTTTTTTTCCTTTCTAATGTTTGGTTCATATAGGTGGGGGCATATGTGATTCATTTTTCTGAAAAACATACTGGATAATACATTCGGTCTCTCTTTCCATAAAATAACTGTTTATTAATGTCTAATATGATCCCCAAGCACTGGACTGAGAGAAAATCTCTCATTTTTACCATGCTGCTGGTCAATCTGCAGGACCTATAAACTTACCTAGGCGCTTGAATTCTGGCTTCTACTTTGCTCGTTCCAATAGCCCGACAATTTTATCTATGGAGAAGGTGGTAAAGCATGCAGCATCTTCTGGCCTGTCTGAGCAGCCAAGCTTCTATGACACACTATGTGGAGAAGGTGGGTCCCAACGGGTGGGTGATAATAAATGCGTAGAACAGGAAACAAATCTGACTGTTCATTTCTTAGACAGAAACCTGTTCCCAAATGGTGCATACCTGGGCCTATGGCAGAAAAATAATGTAAAAGCAGCCTGTGTAAAGAAGGGTTGTTTTGTCCTTCACAACAATTGGATTAGCGGAAGGGTGAAGAAACTAGAACGTCAGGTGTCATCAGGTCTATGGGACTATGATATTAGTACAAGGATGTGCCTGCAGAGGTAGCCCTCCTGACGTAATATTTCTAGGACTTAGTCATTTTGTTTTTATCCTGGAAGAGATGGAGATCTTTCCACACATTTATGGCTAAGCTATGCTTTGGTTTCATCACCGCTCGCTGTAATGGAAGTATCAGATTGGCTAGTGCCGGCCATTAAAGACAAAAGAATATTAGATAATATAGCAGAATACACCAAAGTATAATGTCTTGGTAATCTCTGCTAGTGAGTATGATGAGACGGTGGGATCAGACAACTTTTGAAAGCCACCTGCTTAGCTGATGGGGTGCATTCAATTCTCAGGGGCAAACAGGCATGTCGACAGGCAATCGAAAAAAAATAAAGAACTAGGAGGAGCCCCCATATCTGTGGATATGACCCTGCTATCGAAAAATTTGTTTGTCAGGGTAGTTCATCCAGGTGGGGAAGAAGAGTCGTATCAAACTGCAATTCCTGCATCTCAGATGATGGACAGGTACACGGGGATGTGTGTTGCACGACCAGAAGTTTTCAAAAATCCTCATGATTCCCTTTTACAGCCAGAAGAGAAACTGTTGCCCGGTCAGAAATATCTCTTGATTCCATTAACTACAGTCCAGAAACTCACGCGTAGACACCAAGAGACAGTTGAAGTCAATGAAGCTACTGAAGATACATCAGATGCTAGGATCACTTGGGACGTCAGTAGTGAAAATTTGGAGGAATCAGTTTATTCTGCAAAAGACTTCTATGTCTCCAGAGAAAAGAGCTCAAGACTCTTGACAAGAAGAAATGGAAGAATAAAGAAACCCTTTGTACCACCCCTTCCGAAGGTAAGAGCTTGTCACACTTTGGGATGGGAGCCCAATCTAACTTCCATTCAAGAAATTTCTCCATGATTTGTCTCTCTCTCTCTAAAGGCTCTCACCACAAGGTGTCGTGGCATGCTTATCAGCAAGAAGTTGAATTGCTCATGCATCATGTTGACTGCATGTGAAGTTTGAAAGCGAAATATTTGAATAAACTGGAACTGTGCCATAAATATTTGTTTTATATTCTATGGTGCTACTTCCGCATTGGTGAAACCTCCTGTTTCTAAAGAGGGTGCTTAAACTACTTTTGATTTGGAGACTCCCAAAGTCATCTGTGTATCTTGTAAGTATCATATCATCATGTTTGTTTTAAGGTCATTGTAGTGATCTTCGTCTTAGCTGAGTTTGGGAAAGAAGGGATGATGTATTCTGAAACCACTCCGAGAGTTGGTGATTGAATAGCCATAGAAATAGAATCAGATCCTTGGTCTATGTAAGATTTCAAGTTATGTATTTCAAAAAAAAAAAAAAAAGATTGCAAGTTATGCTCCAAATATCTTAAATGTGTAGTTTGCTGTCGTCATTTGAATCATGGTTGATTGGTTGTGAAAAATAGTGCGTAAAATGTGAATCCATGTGCAGGAATGGATTTAATGAAACTTCAACCTGCGTAGGATCTGTTTAGCAGTTCAAAGACCATTTACTTCGCCCGAGGCTGTTAGCTCAGGGGGCAAGCATCCTGCAGAGTTAGGTGTATCGAGCCACTTCGTGCTCTATAGGATAGTAAAAAAAGAATTTCAATATCCTCTTATTTTTAGGATCAAATTAAAAAACTCCTTTTAGTTAATTGATTATATTGATTTCAACTTCGGAGTATCGCGTGAACAGCCAGACCATCTTATTCTGTCACAGCGATCATCACCTGTTTAATTTTTCCCCCCTTCAATTAAATGGTTTTATTTTTGATGCTGTCAAACTCATGTTAAGAATTTCACTGGCTAGAAAATAAATCTATGCATACACTTAATAAGATTTTGGGGTACTTTGATTTCGAGATATCCTTAGCGCTAAGTCTAAGTTAATCCTCCATAAGACAATGCAATTACATGTTTGGCCCTTATGAATTTGCTGAATCAGTTTAATCTCTACATGCGTTTTTCGGTTCTTGATATTCCTATTTGATTTGCTTTCTTGCCAAGACTACTTAGGCATATTCTTCTACTATAGCTGGCTGTCAATTAGAACAAAACAAGACTGACGAGGTAGTTGCTTAGTACAGAGTTCGATGATCTTATCTTGTTCACCCATGAAATATAGTAATATACTAAACCAATTGGATCATCTGATTGTTTAAGTGTAACGAATAATCTAATTTACTATTTATATCGCATATTAACAATGTGCACAGCTGCTGAAGGGACAGATGTTTACTATTTAATCAATCGTGGAAGTATTCTTGTTTGGTTTAACTAATAAAATCCTGATCAACCTCTTACTGCAAAATTGAGCAATCATTTCTAGCACGTCAGTCCTGTGATTTAATGATTTTCCAAAATGTTCCTCCATACTAATGAGTGTCTTACTAACAAGAGAAAGAAACTGGCATATATACTTCAACCATATGAGTAAGTAGAGGTGAAAAGAGAAGTTTTTGAGAACAAAAAAGAATATTAAAGAAAAAACAAGAAAATGAATTCCTGACTTGTCAATCCCAAAATAGAGAAACAACAGGAATTAAAAGGAATAAATCAGCCCATCAAACGTTAATTTAACGAGCCAATCCAAGCAAACAAAAACAAAAATGTGAGATGATCTTAATTAATCACATACATCAAACCTTTGATATCAATCCCGTTTAAAATGTGGCATTACAATAGACATGATAAAAGCTTGGTGAGAATCCATGTGAAGATAACTGATAAGGTAGCACCAACAGGAATTGTGACAGCCCAAGAAGCTACAATCTCTCTCACGGTTTCTGATCTAACACTGTTTAGGCCTCTTGCGAAGCCTACTCCCATAACTGCACCCACCAAAGTGTGGGTGGCCGAGATGGGAAGCCCCAGCTTTGATGCAAACAAAACAACAGAAGCTGCAGCAAACTCTGCTGCAAAACCTCTTGTTGGAGTAAGTTCTGTTATTTTCTTCCCAATTGTTGCTATCACTCTGTAACCCCACATCATCAGCCCTGCAACAATTCCGAATCCTCCCCAAGCAAGGACATCGGTTGGAATGATTAGCTCTGCCCCACTAGAGGTGCCATGGAGAATAGACAATGCAGCAGCCAAGGGACCAATTGCATTGGACACATCATTTCCACCATGTGCAAATGACATGAAGCAAGCTGACAGGACTTGCATATACCCAAAAACCCCATAAACTATTTCCAGTTGAGTGCCTTTTGGACCTGCAATGTCAGAGAGCAATCCAAGGTTTTTATGCCGGGTGGTATTCTCTTTGGTCTCTTGTTGTGATGAAGTTGATTTGGCAAGGAGATGACCAAGCTGTTTTCGGATAATTCTATCAACTAGGACTGCACCAGTGGCACCACAGGCTAAGGCCTGAACCAGAGCTACAGGAAAATTCTTGCTAAGAGGAAATGCTGCGAATGAAATCCCAGTTACACCCAGAAAAACAGCTATGGGCGCAGCTGCTGCCGCTGCTTGTCCTGGATTTGGAGCACTGTAGACAAACTGGAGGCAGAAAAAAGGTGAAAGTAAGCACAACTACATACATGCCAATAGCAGTAAAACATTTTTCAGGGATTTTGCAAACTTCTCACATCAGTATTTTAGTGTGAAGTAGCTTATGCATGTTTGTTTTAGTCCCTTCATACAACCTTTTGATATCAATTAAACAAATTAATACAATTGAGTTCAGACAAGTAGCAAGCATGAGGCTCCAGTTAACCTGACCTGTAGGTAAATTCCAAAGACTGCAATTTCTCAACAACAACAGACAATTACAACTTCTGTTTATGTATGTAAAAAAAAAAATAATTCACAAAAAAGTAGCGAAAACTTATTTCAAAAAAGAAAAAATCTAAAATATTAGAATATAATGAAAGTATGACACTAAGTAAATAAAAATCATAAAATTATGGTTCATGAGAGTCAAACCAATTGAAGTCTACTCTTATAGCCTGTTTGTTTCATTTCCTGTTCAATTCCTATCTTATCAGATGCCATAAGCTCTTATTACAGCAAGCTATATTCGTTATAGTCCCAAAGTGCAAGAACATACCCTACGGATGCATTTGTAGACAAGAAATGAAGCCAATGCTCCCATTAAAGGTGAGATCACCCACGATGAAGTCACCCTTGCCAGTGAACTCCAGAATACAGCACCAGCTCCTCCATAGACAAGACCAAATCCAACCATGGATCCCACTATACAGTGTGTTGTGGAGACAGGCCATCCATAATAAGATGCCACCTGGATTGAACAAAACCGAACCATAAGCACCCATTTCAATGTTAGGGCCAGCAGGATTGCGAGAAAGCATATTCAACGGATGTTTCTGCCAATATATTACTCTATCCCGTCAAGCTTAAATATTGATCCTCAATTCGTTGGAAGTTTCAAGAACTTGTAATAGTTAATGATGGTACATTTGCTCTTGCTTCAAGTCAATTATGATGGAAACTTTTTTAATCAAGTAATGGCAGGATCACAAAGCTGGTATGGCATGTTATTGGATTCCTCCATGGTGAAAACAATTCTTCATGTAAGTGCACAATATAATCAAAATATTTTATTGGATAACTGAAGAAATGTAAAACTCATTCATCCATCTGATTAGTGCCTAAAGAAAATCTGTTTGGCCATTGTTTTTGTTATGTCTTTGGGATGTAAATCTCATTCATGCATCTTATATATTGCGGCAAGACCTGTCACCTTTTCCTTTTGACTCTTCTGCTCATTTTGTAGCCTTTTAATTCTCCAAATTAACCTATGAGAATCAAGGTTGACAACACTGACTAGAAACTCTCAACTCTTTGATCCTGAATCCTGACATCTCAGTGATTAGCTCGATAGAAACAAAAAGGAATAATTGCGGTAAATTTATCAGCACTAGAAACATCTATCGGCCCTTGTGTGGCCACAGAAACTGTAAGCTCTGTAACTGAAAAATCTAACTTCTTATCTTCTTCTCCAGCACAGTGAAGAAGGCTTCAAGTAACTAGTTTCCTTCTCTTGGAAGTTAAGTGGTCCGTGGTTCAATAGCTCCATGAGTGAACCATAGAGATAGCCGCACGAATACTCAAATCTCGAAAAGTTCAAACAATGAACTCATTACCCAAAAGTATGTGATACCCGTTTTGTCAAATACAGAAAACATGATTCAGACACTTAGTAATAATAAATAGGACTAGAATTTTGGGAGCAGATAAAACCATTTTCTGAAATTTCAAGGCAAGTGATAAGGAGAAAACATAGAAATGCACCTGCAACCAAACTCCAGCAGAAGCTAGCGAAGAGAGCAAGCCAGTAAAAAGCAAAGTATCCTTCCCCTGGAAGACACTAGCAACTAGAATTCCCTTCTGCATTGTGCCGGTGACATGACTCCCCATCAACAGTGCCCCAGAGAACTCCAAAATTGCGGCTGTAACCACAGCTTGACGCAGTGTTAATGCACCTGAGCCAACCGAAGTACCCATAGCGTTGGCCACATCGTTGGCTCCAATATTCCAGGCCATGTAAAACCCGAGTAATATTGTCGCGTATGACATCAATTTGGTCCTCAAGTCCAAGCTCTGAGCCAACGATTTCATGAAAAATGGAAGGGTGAGAGCCGCAAATGCTATGCATATCGAGATAGCTGACGCAGTGCTAGAAGATATATGAAATGCTTGAGCCATTCCAGGCAAGTCATCGTCTTCGCCTTTTTGTTTCTCAATCTGAATTCCTTCCTTTTGCTCTTCCCCGCCATCCGCTTCAGCAAAAGAGGATATACTGGCAAAAGGCTTGGTCAGTTTACAGTTATTGACTCTCAACAAGGGAAGATGGGGATGGAGTGGGTTTAAATGATACTTGAAAAGCAAAGAATCTTTCTTGCGGAAGTGTGTGTCATTGCATAAGAAATAACAACGGTGTTTAGGGAGATAAAGATGAAAATTATGCAGAAAAAATGCTTCTGGGGAGGTGGTAGTGGTGTTTCTTGCAGAAGAAAAAGAATAAGGAAGAGTCATGTCTCGGAGAGGGAGAGAAATAATATGAAGATGATAAGAAGATTAAGGAATAGAGAGTATGGATCAGAAGTATTCGGGTGGAATCTTGGCCATGGATTATGGTGGAGGAGAAGAAAAAAGAGAAGTTGGTGGAGGAAGAAGAATGGAGGGGTTGGGTGTGCATATTTTTTGGTGTTTGGTGTTTTTGGGTGGGGAGGGAGGAGAGTGTGGATTTGGCTGCTCGTCTTGCCTTCGATTCAAATGAGTGGCTCCTATGGCTTCACGAGCGAGTGTCTCTTTTTGGCTCTTGTAACCCCACCCCACAAGAGAAGTTTTAAATATTCATAAAAAAAATTTGGACTACATTATCCATAACTGGTATTCAATAAAGCTTGACGACTTCTTTGATCTTTCTCAATTTACAAACCATACATACTTCTAGTTTTGTCTTTCCATTTGGTTTCCTTACTAGAAATTCAAACTCTATCAAAAACTTTAAACTTATCTTTTCATTGTGTATATATGTTTTATATAATTATTAATTGAATAATACACAATGAATGATTACTACATCTATCTTTTTATTTATTAAAAAAATTTGATACTTTTTACTTAAAAAAATATAATATACCGTATTAAAAATTACATAAAAATATTATTAAGTTAAAGTGATTACATACAAGTAGATTATTAAGAATAATCGGATATTCACTAGTATTATATAAAATATAAGAAATTAGTATTTTTTTAAAAAAAAATAAAATTTAAAGTAACATATATGTTCATAAGTTTATTTTGATACCTTATGAACATTAAAAAATAAAAAATAAAAAAAAAGTAAAAATATTAGTGGGTAATAATTTTGGATTAAAATGATAATATATTATAATATATCAGCCTTAATAATCGGTTATCATATGATTTTGCGTGGCGGGGGTTATCTAGAAAGTTTAAAAATAAATTAATTCTCATCGCATTGGAAATCTGTATAGAAGCCCAGCCCATTGATACTGAAGAAAGAGTCCGAGAAAGCTCCATCACTTTCAAAACATTTGAGTCTAATAGAATTTAGGCCCGCCCATAACCTCATAAATAATTTGTTTAAAACAAATTCCATAAATTTTGATTTCAAACATATATTACAAAGTTTTTTTTTTTTTTTTTTTTTTTTTTTTTTTTTTTCAATTTTAGATGGAATTTTATTCTAAAGTAGATTCCATCATTTGAAATATTTTCAAACGTAAAAATATGTAGTTGCAAAAAACCTTTATTCCAAAGTAAAAAAGTTATAATATTCTTGCCATTTGGGTTTTATGTTTTGTGGTTTCTTACTTCAAATTAACTACTTTTCTTTAAAATAATAATAATAAATAAATAAATAATGATATACGTAATAGTTCTACCGGTTCAAACACAAACACAAAAAAGAAAAGAATACTAATAGTTAGTGGCACTTAATTATCTGACTCAATTTGCTAATTATAAATAAACCCCCTTCAAGAATCACCTCAGTCCACCATTAAATTAGTTCAAACCCTTATTGAAAAGAGGAAACCAACAAAAGAAAATCTCATCAAACTCAGTGGAATTAATATATATATATATATGGCTGATGAATTTCATACTTTTTTTCCTCCTCCTTATAAAACAATACTGTTGACCCCTCTCGAGTCCATTACAACACTTAACAGGCAAAACCACGAAGCTCCTCCATGTCATCATCTGCACTCTACACAGCCCTGACAACTATTAACAATTACACCGTCTTCTCCTTTTTATTTCTGTGTTTAATTTTCTCTTTTGATTCACACTTCCAAACTTCAAACTTAACCACATGAATGAAAAGAATCCAAGTCTATTTTGTAGTTTACCCAACTTCCATTACTTATACCACACGTAGCTTGACAGCGAGCGCAAACAGCAACTCAGATCGGTCCCCCTCCCCCATCACCGTGCACTGTTCTGTAATTAGAAGATTTTATATTTTAAAGAATTAAAATGAGAAAATAAAACATGTAATTAATACGTTAATTACCAATAATAATATACGTACATGTGGGGTTAGAACTTATGAGAATATCATCTTCCTTCAAAGCTCACCTGGCCCACTCCTCTGGTTCCCACCAATCCACCACAAAGAGGAGAGCTTGGAGATCAGCCAACTGGCACCTCCCCAATAAGCTCTCGCCATGTCAGATAAATAATGATTACGTGTATGATGGATGGGTACAAGTGGTCCAACCTCGTGGCAAGACACGTGGCCCATGCAGTCAACCCATGCAATGGGAACCACCCCCCCCCAACAGTATGAGTGCCACGAGGCAAATACGTTGAAAATAGCGCGGAAGAAATGAAGGCGATGAAACGCATAATTTCTTGCAGTATAAGGAGAAGAAGAGGTTCTGTTTGATCAAACAATAGCCGTCCGATTCATCATGTTTGCGATGGACGGCGATGAGTGGTCGAGGAGCCGCGATACGTAGGATACAAGGATGTATCACAATAAACTTATATCTAGAATAATAAGAGGTGGGGTTTAAAGTAATTTCCTGGAGACGTCAGAATCGGTCTCCATCCAAATTGGAGCATGAGATTCCAAAAACCGAGTATCAGTGGAAACATATAGATATAGAGTTGGCACGTGTGGCGTCACACGCTTTTTGGAAATGGGCACATAAGGACAACCGACCCTCTCTCTCTCTCTCTCCCACAAGTTGGGTGGTTGCGTGTTCGACACTGAGGACCGTTATCATCTCTTATTACAAGTGGCCAAACTATGCCCATGCCACGTGTAAATAACCAGAAAAACAAATTGAAGACCATGTTTTAACTTAATATTAAAAGGTCAAAAAAAGAAGAACGAAAGCAAAGGAAAAAAATAAAAAAAATAAAAAAATTTACTACGCGAGGAGGGCAGTTTGCTGTGTGAATGCAGAGTGATTGTTAGAAAAGTATAGAAGGAGAAGGGGCAAAAGAGGTACGTGAATGAAAGAAAGCAAAGTGCATGATTCTCTTGTCAAAAGGATAAGGAGATAAAAGGTGGATATGCTTTGAAATTTAGAATTGAGGGACAAGGATATACAGTCGGTGGCTGAGTACTGGACCCAAACCACGCCGTAAGGACTCCTATTCCGGATTTATGCCATGACATAATCCATGAAAGCGACAATAAAAAAACCATTTTAATTACCTTAAAAAACTTTTAAAAATTTCAGCCCACTTAATTTTCCCAAACTGGATTAAACCCGTATGTACGAAACCTGCAAGTTTGATCGCATGCGTAATGCATTTTGCGTGTGGTATTGTCGTGCGAAACATGTTCTTACTCGCAATATTTTAAAACGGTGTTTGAATTAGACCTAATTAACGAGCTGCCTTGCCCCTAAATTGATTTTTGTATGGGAATATTTCAATCAGTCGGCATCAAGTACTAGAGTTGTTTTATAAAAAAATAAATAAATATCTACTGTGAGACCATTATCGTATATGTTAATTGGTCCAAAAAAATTCTACTAATTAAGAAAAAAAAAAAAAAAAAAACAATTATAAAAAGACTTGGGGACATATTTATGATGCGTTCACTTTCGTGGGTAATTTGACGGGAGAAAAAACAAATTAAATACAAGTCCTAAAGACTTTATTTTCAGTAGTCATAATTCAAAATCGGTAATTCACTGCATATTAATATATTTTGTGAAAAACTATTCGCACATGACAACGTTATCTTATCATTTTGGACAGATTAACATGATAATGATGACGTTCGTTGAACTCAATTAATTAGTTATGTGTATCCAGCTGTATTCTCATTTTATATTTATTCATTTATAATAATCTTACTAACAATATACCGAACAGCCTTCTTGCTTTGGTAAAAGAAATTCCGACTTCCAGTCTTGTGCCTCCGGGAAAGAAAGAATAAATAAATAAATAAAAAAGGTTGAACCGCGGACAATAACAAAGCCACGTGTCACGAAATCCGAAATAAACGGAAGGAACTACTTACATCCGTGCGATTCTTTCGTTTATTTAATTTTATATTTACTTTTGAATTTAAAAATATATTTTTACTTCCAAAGAACTTTTAATTATCTCCGTCAATTATTTATTTTTTTTAAATATTTCTCTACTCATCTAATTGCAATAAAATTATTTTATTTTGTGTTTAAGATACTAATCATGCCACGAATGATGACTGGAGAGGTGGGACTGACGGGTCCCACTCAGTATTCCGGTTCCTTCCTCCATAAAAATAAAAAAGAAAAAATGACGTGGAGCCCATGAACACTGTTCATACGTGAGTACGACCGAAAGGTGGGCCACCCTTGGACTATTATTTAATCCGCATGTCAAAGGTATTATCTTTTATGCAAAATCAACTAATTTAAATATTTATCAACTTTTTAATTTACTAATCCAAATTAATTTCTAACCTTTTTTTAGTAAATATAATAAATATTTCAATTTTTACTTACTTTAAAATATATATCGCTTACAATTATTTGTGGACTAATTTTTTTATATTAAATATGATCATTACCGAAATTAAATCTAAAGGTATTAATACGTATTAAAAAAATATTGAAGATATTATGCCTCGAAATCTTAATTTTTTATGAAATATCCATTTGAAAATATGTTATTTATACTCATAACTTATTATTTTTTTTTAAAAAAAGAAATTCTTCCCTTTCACCTTTAAAAAAAAAACAAAATGCTTATAATTTTTTGATAAAAATATTTATTTTTATCAAAGCATTTGTACAAACAGTTATAAATTTAAAAAAGTAATAATTTTTTTAGTAAAAAATTAAACGGTTGATATGTAGCATGAAGATTTTTTGTGGTTGCCAAATAGAAAATGAACTTTAAAACGTAATTCCCATGTGGATCACCTGTTCACCTACAAAGAAAGCAAAATATTACAAATCTATATGTATATATGTGTGTGTGTGTGTGTGCATTATATATTTCTATTTCTTTGAGGTTATAAAATTTTAAATCCAATTTTTTAGAAAATAATGCTAGAATAAATTTTTTATTTTTTTAAATTTATAAATCTATAAAAATAAATATACAATATTATAATAAATTAATAAAAAATATAAACCTGAATCTATCATAAAAAAAATTATTCGCATCCAGCAATAAAATTTTTTAAATTAATACGATAAATTTTTGTAATTTTTATTTTATCTATTATAAAATAAAAATATTATAAAAATAGTATATACGTATTATAAATTAATGTTTAAATTTAATATATTAAAATTCAATACTTTTTAATTATATTTAAATAAATTTATTAAATTAATATTATGATACGCGTATTAAAATTCAACAAACAATAATATTCATAGGCATACAAAAGGAAGGAAGAAAAAAAATCTTTAATGACACGTTGATAAATTATTTATCAAATGAAGAAAGGAGAAAAAAACCCTGAGAATTCGTGGGTTGCCAATTAGGACAAATATTATTCTAATATATGTAATGGTTGAAATTTTTGTAATATATTTAAATATGATTTGTTTAAATAATTGAAGAACTAGAATTTATGTGTATTATTAATTGACGAAGATTCATTATAAATTTTTTTTAATGTAATTTATAATTTTAATTATTAATGTATTAATAAAATTATAGTAATTATATTAAAAATTTTGATAAAACATTTTTTTTTTTCTTAAATAAAGTTATTTAAGTTTGTCACAATTAAAAAATCAAACTGAAAATTTAGAACATATAATAATTTTCTTTAGTTTAGAACTGGTCAAAAAATTTGCAGGAGACCTTTTTTACTTAAATAAAGTTAAATTAGATTAATGACAATTCAAAAGTTTAACTGAAATTTCGAGCTGAGTTACATTTACATTCAAGGTTGACTTTTAAAGCAAATAAAAGAAAAAGAAAAAGAGAAAGTGTGAACATAGGATTAAATAAAAAACCTGGTGGAGTAAAAGGAAGGAACAACATATACGGCGGTAGTTCGTGGAAGATATTGGTGTGGGGAAGAGGAGAGTTGATGGAGTGTTTGTTAGTTTAGGATGGCCCATGGGCATGGGGCTACCGGGGAATCTTCCTGACGTATTAATGCAATGACCTTCCTCCTCATCTTCACAAAACTCTCTATAAATATGACCTCAACAAGCTCTTGCCTAGGCTTGAACAACCAAGCCCTCTTCTTCAATTCCTCTCTTCCCCCCATCTTCTTCAACTTCAGCAAGCATGGTCAACCCCACTTCTTCACTTGACACCACCACACACAATCTCCTTCTCAAACCCCCCACCATCAAGTTTCTCTGCAGCTATGGCGGCAAAATCCTTCCCCGTTACCCCGACGGCAAACTTCGTTATTTGGGTGGACAAACTCGTGTTCTCGCTGTCCACCGCTCCATTTCTTTCTCTGGTCCGTATTCTATCTTTCTTTCATTTTTCCCATTTATTTTTCATAATGATCTTCCTTCTCTAGTTTTAATACGTATCCTCTGTCCCGGTTTCTTATCATATATTCATATACTTGTTGTGTATGTATAGTAGATGTGGGTTTTTAAGTGCTTTGTGTTGTGTTTACAGAGTTGTTATTGAAGTTGAGGGAGATGTGTGGCACCGTAGTGACTCTACGGTGCCAGTTGCCGACGGAGGACCTGGACGCTCTGATTTCCATTACCTGCGACGAGGATCTCGCCAACCTCATCGAGGAATACGATCGAGTATCACCTCCACCATCTTCCTTAAAGATCAGAGCCTTCCTCTCTCTGCCCAAAAAGCCATCTCCTCCTCCGTCATCCAAATCGTCGTCGTCATCGTCGTCTTCTACGCCTAGGCTTTTAGTGCCGCCGCCATCGGATCGGTGTCTCCGTCAGGTGTCGGCGGCTCCCCCGGTTGCGGTCCCTCACTGGTTGGAGAAATCTGCCGGGAAGGTTCCTCACTATGGCTATCATGCTCATGGGAATCCTCCCCACTTCTACCTCATCCACAACGGAAATCACTGGCAATAACCCAGAACGGAGAACCAAATTGAGAACCCAAACAAAGAAGTATGAAAACAATACTACTGCTATAAATAGATCAACTCGAATCCAAAAGAAGAAAAAAGAAGCAGAAAAAAAGATATTTGAGAAGTAACTCGTATATAAATATATATCATGTAATGGAAGGGACTGTAATTACTCGTTAAGGATTGCTTTTTGATGCGAGGCGATTAATGAATTTCCAGTCCAATTTCGTGTTTGGATGCCAAAACTTTGTGATGGTGAGTTTGTTCATCTTCTTTTTCCCATTTTTTGGTTTAAAAAATTTATGGTATATATATCTCCATTACCATTAAGCGCGTAGCAGCTTCCGTTCTGTCCTTGTATTTGCCGTTAGGATTTTGTCCTTTAGCTCGTAAGCGTAACAGCAGGGTGCATGCTTGATCTGTTGTTTCGGATTCGTGTATGTGCGTGCCGTGTCCCCCCGTCTTGCTTTTATCTTCTCAGGTTTCGTTTTTTGTCGGCATGTATATGTCGTCCAGTCTGCCCTGTAGATTGCCATTATTATCCTCCTTGTTCCCTGTTACGTATTCTTTTCATGTCACCCATGTTCAGTTTTGTACTTTTCTTAATTTGTTTCTTTCGTCTTTCTCCATATCTCTCCCTCTCTCTTATCTTTTCTTTTTCTTTTGGTGTTTAGTTAGCTAGGTCTAATCTTATCTGTTTATTCTATAATTAATCGTTCCCATTTAGAATAATTTATTTGGATTTAATGTTCTTATCATTTGTTTGTGCAGGTCAGTGAAGTGAAGAGATTAGAAAGAATGGAGGTTGAAGATGATGGGGGAGAAAGTGCTGGTAAATCACAGTAAGTAAAACAATTGCTTTCTGGAACTAAATTACCACTTGCCAATAATATTAGTTACTTGCTTACATTCGATTACCAGTTGGCATTTCTGTATGTGCATAAGATATTCTTATCATCAATTAAGTACTTTTATTTTAAATGGGCCCCTTATATACACGCATATGTACATTAGGTTCTTTGAATATATTCGAGGAGATAGCCATTTAATGATTAGGATGCTCTGTTCCTTTCTCCCTTTTCCCTGTTTTTCTTATTCTCAACCCTCCATTTGGGTTTGCCTCTTGAGGACACAAACTGTCACATCCCATTAGCTGCCATGAATTATCATCTTCCCACCCTCCTCCTGAGTTTTAAAACAAATCAATGAGAAGTTTTAATAGAATTTACAGAGAAGATAATATAGTAGAAGCTTGAAAAATAATCCCAAGATTTGTGTTTGGCGTTACTGGTACGAGTTATATGATATTTGTTTGGTGATAAATGGAGCATGAATGACAAGGGGTGATTTTGATTTTGACCAGATACCCTGAATGGCATGCAGCTGGCATGGAACCACTGGTAGTTTGATTCATACCAAACAACAGAAGGGCGATGGCGATGTACTTGAAGAGATTGGTAGATGGGACCATCCGGGTGCTCTGGAATTACCCTCGATTAACTCGAAATTGGGACGTATGGCGAAAGAAACTAACATTCTTTAAAACTGATGGCATATAATAAAGACAGCAGAGAATCATATATGACAAAACCAGAAATTGGAAGTAAACGGAAAGCAATTATTAATGCAAATCCAAAATAGAAATATACCCGATAGAAGGAAAAGGGGAAAGAGCATAGAAGGTTTCTGGGGTAAGGATGTCCAGTAATACATGGCAGCATTTTCAAAAGGAGGATTCCCATGGCGGTGGGTGTTTTGGAGAGAGATAAAGATAACTAATTGTTAATTTGAGACATTAAAAAGAAGAAAGTGATTTTGGTATTGTTGTGGTCGTGGAGAGTAAAAGATAAAAAGTGATTTAAGGTTTAGGGTATACCCCCACCCATGTGCTGTCCCTATTTATTCCCTTTCATCTCCATCTCCATTTTATTTTTTTGTGGGAGAAGAGAAGATGATGTAGGGTAGGGGTAGGGTTTTCAGTCGTTTTTAGTAAAGAAGAAGAAGAAGAAGTGGGCATTGTCATGGATCCCACAACATTGAGAGTTGAGAGTGTTTGTTATGAAACATTAATTGCTGATAATGTGGACATCCACTGGGCTGCTGACGCTGATGAAAAGCCCTCTTGAGGGCTGTTGTTTCTGGGGGGGGACTCTTTTCAACCACCACTAATTTTGAAATCTGAATTATTATGAAAAAAAAAAGGTGTAGATTTTAAAGCTCTGTTCGTAAAGGAAGATATAACTTTAGGAAGGAGTTCCGGTTTTCTCTCTCTTGCTCGACCCTTCTTCGCCCGCCGCCCTGTCCTTGTCGTACTTACTCGTCAAAATTAAAATTCTTAAAAAGATTTTCTTTTAATATTATGTATTTTCATGTCTGAATCAACTCCAATTTGATACTTAACAATTTATTCTCTCTCATAATTATTTCCAAAGTAATTTATACAAGACATATAGTAATCGATAAATAAATGTGCCGACGACTTATTTGATGGAAATTAATTCCTTAATTGGCGAGCTGAACTACTCTAGTTGCGTTGCTTGGTCGAGCTAATGACTAATTAATTGGGTTACCCAATTTTATTATCTTTAAGTTAAGAAGGGTCATAAATGAGCTCCAAGTATAAACTAAACATCCATATAAAAGAAAATAGTGATGCTGGTTATCATTGAAGACTGAGTCAAGGTTAAATTTTGATTAGTATTTAATTAAAGAGATGTTACGATAAAATTTTTATATAAAAAGCATATCTTATATCTGATATGCACCGGGGTATTTCAATATAATTTTATTATGTGATTATTTTTTGTTTTAATTTTTAAAATTGGTTGTTCCGTTTGGTATCAACATTTTAGTGTTTGTTTATGACACAAATTTTTATAATTTAAATTATTAAATTTTTTATTTTTATGTGGATTTGGAACATATAAATGGTGGAAGGAAGTTAGTAAATTAGAGAAATTTTAAAGATAGGATTAACATTCAAAATTTGATACTAAACAAACTTTTTGTGCAAGCATAAATATGTTGAATGCTACTTCTTTTTAGACGTACAAAAGTCACCTTAGTATGATTTAAGATGAAATTATAATTTACTACTTTTTTCAAAAAATAAAAATAAAAATAAAAAAAGATAAAAATTTGTTTATTTTAATTTTGCAGATAAATTTGAAACTAAATACAAAATTTTAGTTATAAGATTTTAAACATTAAGTTAATAAAACTAAACTGAAATAGTATAGAGATTATAAAAAATAAAACCAAGCAAACTGCTATACTTTGAATATGTTTATGTTTTGGGTTTTATTATTTAAGTGTGTAAACATTAATATTTGCTTAACCGAAGGCCGAAATCGGTTGTTCCCTAACCACAGTGGCCCGGCCCATCTAGCAGCTTACAGTGGCCTGTGAGCCTACTCATCTAAGCATTTGCAATCCCTAGCCCCTTCGCCTCTTCTCCCCGTCGAGCGTTCACTCCCACAGCTCCTCTCCTCCTGTGTTTCGGTGCCTCCTTAGTAGCAGCTATTCTTCCCTTCTGACCCAAAAACAGAAACTTCATTTGACTTATTTGGGAACTTGATTCGAAGTGGCAGCAGGTTTGGTTTACGCCAAAACATCTTCAGAATCCAGTGTTTTTTTGCGGCTGCGGGCTTGCAGTTTTCTGTACTGCAAATATATCCCGTAGTACTTATAATTAGCCTCGTTTTCAATTTTCCCCTATAAACCCTAGCTTAACCCTTGGGGGTCTCGTCCAACGAAGAAATAGCTTTCATTGGAAAAACAAGCGACATAATTTATTGATAGAAGATGCAGCAGGACGAGGTTATATGGCAGGTTATCAGGCACAACCATTGCAGTTTCATGGCCAAGTAAATATATTTCTAAATAAATTTCAAATTCAAGAGCCTTGTAGTTTGTGTTCGTAATTATTAGCAATCGATTTACTCATTGATGTCTAGCTGGGTTTTACTTACATCATTTTATTAATGATTTTTTTTTTTTTGCATAGAATTGCAACCGGGAATTTCTGTAGAAATCCATATAACGTTACTGGGATTTGTAATCGAAGCTCGTGCCCTCTTGCAAATAGTCGCTATGCCACCATTCGGGACCATGATGGTACTTTAGTCTTATACTTCCTATTTTTTTTCTGCAGGAAAAAAGAAAATTGATTTATGCATTTTTGGAGTTTAGGTGACGGAATTGTTTCAGGGTAGAGAAAATAGGGTTACGCTGGCATTTTATTTTACTTTTATTCTCAATTTTCAAGTGTTCATGGCAGTGTAAGAGAAACATCTACGTTCTCTTCTCAAAAGACTTGGCTATGTTATGTTCTTTATCAAATGCAGCTTCAAATTAAGCTTCTCATGGCTATTTGTCCTATTCTTCGAGGACACCTTGAAATTGTAGCTGTTTAAGAGATTGATTCAGGTTGGTTTCTGGGTATTATTAACATGCGTGATATTTGTGTGTGGTTGGTTTTGAGCAGGAGTCTTCTATTTATATATGAAAACTATAGAAAGAGCTCACAAACCTAATGAGTTGTGGGAGAGAGTTAAGCTGCCAAGAAACTATGAAAAGGCACTTGAACTTATTGACAAGCACCTGGTATGCAGCATACCACCTATTTAGTTGTCTGAGATGATTTCTATTTTTGTTATATTCATGTCTGTTGGAATGCCTACTCTGAACTTGCCTTGTCTTTCCAGATGTACTGGCCGAAGTTGTTAGTTCATAAAACCAAGCAAAGGCTGACCAAAATGACTCAGATGCGAATTCGCATGAGAAAACTTGCTTTGAAAACGAGGTTCACATCTTCTGTTGTTTTCAACTGCTCCTGTTCTTACAATATAGTTTTTTAGGGGTTTTCCATTAGGAAATATTGTCTAGTAAAGTAAAATGGTAAAAACCTGTCCCACTGCATTAATTTGACTTTTGATATATAGTTGAAGTTCTTTTGTCAATTTGAGCTTTAGGCATTGCAGGCTTGTTCGTTCTTCTGAATGTTCATCTTGATCCAAGAAAAAGCTATTTCTTTAATTTCAAGTTTTCGGTCAGCATGGTTTTATCATTATGTCGTCTTTTTATCATGCTGCAATTCTAATATGCTATGTGTCTGACATTACTGGTCTTTGTACTTTTCTGGTCATTGTCTCTGACATTATAAGTTTCTGATAAACTTGTGCGAAGCTAAGATGTAACTGGTCTTTGTGAAGTATGGTTTCTGGGGAATACATTTGGATTGGGAGTTTGTTTTGCTGGGGATCTTCCTTTAGACATGATAGGATAACTGGAAATAATTGTGGAACTAAGGAAATGTGTTATCCTATCACTTATCATTTCTTTTTGGGGTAAATAATCTCTTAGTAGAGGTAGGCTGAAATCAGAAGAACTGTTCTTTTGCCATATTTGGCTAAATAATATTTTGCTTCCTTGTATTGGTTTTTTTACATGACTTCACAGGGAAAAGATAATGACAACACCAAGGAAGGAGAAAAAGAGGGAGGCCAGGAGAGAGGAAAAAGCGGAAAAAGCAGCACTGTTGGATAAGGTTATCCTGAACTTGATGTTAATGATTGGCATGAACTCTGTTTCTCCTTTGTAGCTTAACTGACACTATTTATTTGTGCAGAGTATTGAAAAAGAGTTGTTAGAACGCTTAAAGAAAGGAGTTTATGGTGACATATACAATTATCCCGCTGAAAAATACAATGAGATTTTAGATAAGGAACTGCAGGTTGCTGATGATGTTGAAGAATATGAGGAGGTATTCTGTCTAAATTCGTGAGAACTTTGATTATATTGAAACTCTTCTACTTTTGTTTCATAGGATAAATAATTCTTAGGAAACATTATGATTTGGATTTGCAGGAACCAGAAATAGAATATGTTGAAGACTACGAGGATCTTGAAGAGGAAGATGACATGGAAGATTTTGGTGGTCTAGAAATTAACGAACATCGCATGGGTGATGACAGTGGTAAAACATATAATAGATGCTTTTTGTGCCAATATATAATTCTGCCCTTTAATATGCTTGTAATTTGTCCATATATTAGTTGTTAGGTATGAATCGGTCACTAAAGCCCTTAATTTTCTTTTATTATTATTGAATTTTGGAAGTCATTTTCTTCTTGCTGTTAAACCTATTTTTGAAACTCTGCTGCTGGTCTTTTATGGTATAAAAACTTGGGATGCACATAATGGAATTTTAGTTCAGCTAGTTGGTGGTTGATTAAATATTAGTTGTCTTCAGTAAGATTAATGTGAGGAAGTACTATGTTCAATCATCCAGAATGAATGCGTAACCTTCGAACACGTAAAAATTTTTCCTGTTTACCTGGACTTATAAACTTCTTGGTGCCTAATGATACAGTTGACTCCGACGACGAGGAAGAGGCAGTTGCAGTTCACCGCAAGAGAGGAAGAGGAGAATCTGGTGTGGCTTTAAGAAAGCTTGAGAAAGAGACACCTGGTGCAAAATCAAAGAAGAAAGCAAGGGTACTTGTTGAGGTGAGGTTTCTCTCTTTCTGCTTCATTCAACGATATTTTGTAGGTCATTTTTTAGATGCTTAATCTGCCTTTAATGCATAGACTACTCGATTAATCTATCATCATTGATAGCTTGGAAATATGCTATCAAACTCTTCTTCTCCAAAATTTTCAAGGTAGTGAAGTGTGAAATAGGTTTATTGAGATATCACATCTCAGTTATTTCCTTCCGAGCATGTCTACAACATTTATGGAAGTTACTGGGTGAAATTAACATAGATAGCCTATCTATAATTATTAATTTTTCTACCTCCAATCCTGTCAAAGTGGTAAATATGTTGGAACTGTTGGCCTTTGGAATCCTCTGTTATCGAGTATCCTATCATAGGAGACGAGGTCATTCTTTATCCAACCATTCATCTTTCTGAGTCTGCAGGCATCTTCTTCTCCAGTTTGTTGAATTTCAGCTCTCCTTCGTAATTTACAAATTTAGAGAGATATGTGTATTATCTAGTGCTTTTGGATATTAACTTATAACAGAATCTGAACTCTGGCGATAATTTAATTTTATTGGTTGAGAAACAAGTTTGGACAACATGCACAAAATGAAATGACAGAAAGTTGCTAAGGGGATTGGCTAATTCTGTTTTCCCTCTTTAGAATTGATAACAATTATGCCAAATGTGGATTCTGGTGTCTCAAATTTCTTGGTCTAATAATTCCTCAGGTTGAGCGTGAAGATGCTGATGAAAGACAACAGGTTCACCAACTGGTTAAACACTGATTAAATGTTCTTGCGCGGTGCGGGCGGATATTCTTATCCAAGTTCAAGGTTACTAAAAGAAGAGAGGGAAGTTTTGTTTTTTTTTTGTGGTTTTGATATGCAAATTTTGGCCATTTGCAGAACTGTAGAAGAATGTGGTTTTCATCATACGGCAAACTATGGAAACATTTATGAAATTAAGCGAATTCAAATTAGAATTATAAAAAAAAAAAAAAAAAAGATTGATGTTGCACACATTTTAAATTTGTCTTACAAAAACATAACTAAACCATTTTAAATTAATGACGGATTAATTAACGGGTACAAGAGAAAAAAAAAAGAAAAAATTATACAATCACAACGTTCTCCCAACTCCAACTTGGCCTAAACAGATTGACAAAATTATGACTTATTATTTTATTTGAATAATTTTTTTAAAATATAATCTGTATAAAGAATATATGATCCATGCAATACAAAAATAACACAGGTATAAACTTAAATAAAATCAGATGATACAAAGACCATTTAATTATTCAAACGCTATTAAAAGAAAGAGGTAGAGGACAAACCTGAAAATAGAATGAGACCGACGATTGTTTAAGAACCTGATGAACAACCTCGCCATTGTGTGCTTGCCCTTTTCTTCCCCAACCAGTCTATCATTTTCAAGATGATGCAATAACCAATATTCTAATTGTCATTTCCAATCGCTGTTAAAACAGCCGGCTCTTCACTATGCGAGTCAGTTTGTCTTCTTCTCTAGCACTTTCTAGTCTTTCCACCGACAGAGCTACTATATAACTAGATCCTTCCTTGTTGCAAGCTTCATCTTGTTCGCAGATTTCTCAGAAGAACAAATTTAACAAGAAATGGGTCAAAATATAGCAAATTACCCGCTTCTTTCCTATATCCTCTACCGTCTGGAACCCAACTCTTATCCACCACTGTCGCCAGACGTACTAGAAAATCTGAGCACCCGGTTTCCTAGTTTGTCCAATCCAAGAGTCCTTTCTTCCCTATCCCAATCCATCCCCAACACCGTTACCCAGACCCACTTCCTCCTCCGCTCCCTCGGCCCACGTCCTGACCCAGCGGCGGTATCCTCGGCGCGATCCAAGATTCCGCAGTTACAAGAAATGGGTTCATCCCCAAATCAAGTGGAGAAGGAGACTGAGATATACAACGTGGTGGTGCGGTTGGAAGAGTTGCACGAGGAGTACGAGAAGCAGTTGAGGGATGTTGAAGAGAGGTTGGCTTTGGTTTATGGGTCTGTCGTAAAAGAGATTGATGAGAGTGAGGTAAATGAGGAAGTCGTTAGGATATTGAAAGAGGCAGAGAGTGGAGTTGTGGAAAGAGTTGCCCTGTCTGGGCGTCAATTGAAGTTTCTTCCGGAGGATTTTGGGAAGCTTCATGGCTTAACTTCTCTCGACTTTTCTCACAATGAGTTAAAGGTATGTTCCTATCACTCTCGCTAACCGTTTTTGCTTTTCACTTATCTGTAATCAGTGATTAATGTTTAGATTCAGAGGTGCTTAAAATTTTTATCTTTTGAATACTGTGGTATACTGGACTTGGAGTGTAAATTCTCATTTGTTTTGTTCGCCACTAAAGGATTTAGCAAGTTCTGATTATAGAGACTTAAAAGTAATTTTATTAGCGGGTTCAATATGATAAAATATTTGGATTAAGCTGGGGGGTTGGGGAGGGTGTTGAAACAAAAATAAAAAACAGAGGAAGTTTATAGAGTAGTAATATGAGAATAAAACACTAGAGAATGTTTACTGCTATTCTGGAAAATTAATGAATGAAAATATATCAGATACAAACTGAATATATAGGCAAAATACTAAAGTCAAACCCCTTAAAAATCTGCAACTACTACAAGAAAACTTCCGACTAAACAATCTGTAACTGTTATAAAAAATTTACAACTAAGTAATCTGCAAGTACTACATAAAAAACTTCTAACTAAATCTAGAACTGATTGACTTTATGTTCTACAAAATAGGAACTAATTTGTTGACATGGTAAATTTAAAAGTAAGATGCACTGATTTTTAACACTCCCCCTTAGTGCATGCTTACGATCAAGAACTCCAAGTGCAACTCTGAAACTTTCAAACTTAGGCTTTACCAAAGCCTTTGTAAATATTTCTGCAACCTGATCAACTGTGGAAATCCTTTTAGCTCAATTTTTTGGTCCAGCACTTTCTCTCGAATGTGATGATGATGTACTTCAACACACTTTGTCCGCCCATGAAAAATTGGATTTGATGCAAGCCTAATAGCACTTTAATTATCACATTTAATTTGGACAGCATAATCGAGTTTAGACACCGTGTCGCCGATTAATCTCTTCAACCACATACATTCCTGTGCAACCATAGTTGCTGCTACATATTTAGCTTCAGTGCTGGATAAAGCGACCACCGATTGCTTCTTGCTGCACCAGGATATCATTGTTGATCCAGTAATAAAACAGTAGCCTGAAGTTGAATGTCTATCATCTGCATCTCCAGCCCAGTCTGCATCAGTAAAACCACTTAACAAGAATTTTTTATGCTTTTTTATATAAGACCGTAATTAAGTTTGCCCTTTACATAACGAAAAATTCTTTTTGCTGCTTCTAAGTGAGGGCTTCTTGGACACTGCATGAATTGGGAAACTACACCAACAAATAAGAAATCTTAGGTCTTGTGGTAGTTAAATAGATTAAACTACTAACAAGTTGAAATTTTCTAACATCCTTCAATGGCACTCCATCTTTTACCAATTTGAGATGTGGCTCCATTGGAGAAGCTTCTCTTTTGACTCCCCCATGCCAAAACGTTGTAGAAGCTTTCCTGCATAGTTTTTTTGAGAAATAAAATACCCTTGATCTGATTCTTTAATTTCCAGACCAAGAAAATAGCTTGCCTGCCCCAAATTTTTCATCTCAAATCGAATAGAAATTTCATTTTTTAGTCTGGAAATTTCTGCTTCATTATCTTCAGTAATTATTATATCATCCACATACAATAAGATCATCAAGTGCATATTTGATTCTAATTTAATAAATAAATTAGAATTTGCAACAGAAACTTAAAAGCTACAAAAGATAAACTATTAGACAATTTTACCATACCAAGCACATGGTGCTTGCTTAAAGGCTATACAATGCCTTCTTAAGCCGATAAACATGGTAAGGATACTGCTTCGAAACATATCCTTTCCGCTGCTCCATAAATACTTCACGATCTAATTCTCCGTAAAGAAATGCATTCTTTACATAAAGTTGCCATAATTTCCAACTTTTGAATGCTGCAAGAGAAAAAATGGTTCTTATTGTTACCATTTTTGCAACAGAACTGAATGTCTCCTTATAATCCAATCCATAGCTTTAAGAGAAGCCACGTGCAACAAGTTGAGCTTTGAATTTTTCAAGCT